AGATCAGCATATTCGTGTCTGAAACCACAGAAAATATAGTTTGTTACCCAAACATCACTATTTATTTTTATGGCTGAATCCTAAATAATTTAAAGTTGAAGGCAGAAGAAAAGTTGGATGCAAGTATTTCATTATAAATATGTGAAATGTCAGCATTAATAAATTTATGATATAATATTGGGAAAACACCATGCAAAATGTAAGAGAGTTAGGATTCAAGTAAAAATGTTTTAGTAATATCTTACTCACCTGTAAAAGATTCATCTCCTTTTTCAGATCAACCTTACTGTTAACTGTAAGACAAAGAATAAATGGACAGAAACATTACAATGAGACTATGAAAGTGATATTGCACAGAGCAGAAGAATTTAGCAGTATTTATTTGCTCTAGACAAGTTACTCTTTTGCTACACCCTTCATAAGAAGGTAGAAGAGGAAAGATGAAAGCTCAAATGATAATAAAAACAATTATTTCCTGAACAAAATTAATATCCTAGCAGCAATGATGTATTATGCTTTACAGAAGAAAAAGAGCTAATTCTTGTCATTTAGGTTCTGAAAAGTACTTTTTTCCTTAGCAGCAAAATAATACTCCATGTTGATGAGAAAATCTAGCAATAACCAAGGAATCATAGAAGAATACAAATGTAGTTATTTCATTAATTCAACAAACTTCTTATTTATTTATTTATTTATTTAAATTTTATTTTATTTTATCAAGATACAATGTGGTTGATTTTTGTGTCCCTTTACTGAGTCCTCCCTCCCCCCCACCGTCCCTCCTATCAACCTCATATGTTTGCTTGTCTTAACAACTTCAAGGAATTGTGATTGTTGTATCTTCTTCCCGCACCCCGCGGTTTGTTTGTGTATTTATTTATTTTTAGCTCCCACAAAAAGGGAAACATATGGTATTTCTCTTTCTGTGCCTGACTTGTTTCACTTAATATAATTTTCTACAAGTCCATCCATGTTGTTGCAAATAGCAGTATTTCATTCTTTTTTATAGCAGAGTAGTATTCCATTGTGTAGATATACCACAGTTTCCTTATCCACTCATCTGATGACGGATATTTGGGCTGGTTCCAACTCTTGGCTATTGTAAATAGTGCTGTGTGAACACTGGAGTACAGGTATCCCTTCAACTTGATGATTTCCATTCCTCTGGGTATATACCCAGCAGTGGAATAGGTAGGTCACATGGTAGATCTATCTGCAATTGTTTCAGGAACCTCCATACCATTTTCCGTAAAGGTTGCAACATTTTGCAGTCCTACCAACAGTGTACGAGAGTTCCTTTTTCATGCAACCTCGCCAGCATTTATCATTCAGTCTTTTGGACATTAGCCATCCTAACTGGAGTGAGATGGTACCTCAGTGTGGTTTTGACTTGCATTTCCCAAATGCTGAGTGACGTTGAGCATTTTTTCATGTGTCTCTTGGCCATTTGTACATCTTCCTTTGAGAAATGCCTATTTAGGAGGCGGGCGGCCACCCTCACCCGGCTGTGCATCCCTGGGAGCTCACTGGCAGGTGGGTTTCGTGTGAGAGTCCGTGTTTCCGGGCCTTCTCCTCTGCTGTCCCCCACAGGCCAAAGGCTGGGTGAGGGGCGGTGGTGGCCGGGGGAGGCCCGGAGGGTGAGTAGGGCGCACTGGGGACACCCTGACTTACCGCCGCCCAGCCCTATTCCTGACCCTGGAGGCGAGTGTTGCCTTTTTCTGTGCCACGAGTCCTCCAGAGCCAAAGGCACAATGAGATGGTGAGCTGGGGTCCTAGATGTCAACAACATTTTGGAAGCTACAGGTTATAGATAAACGGAAATAGCTTTAGTACAGTGGAGAAAACTAAGTCATGGAGTAAGGGAAGACAGAAAGGATGTTAATTAATGCTGAAGGGCATGAGAAAGCTCAGGAATTGGAAGAACCTGGTGCCCCATCAGTTTTTGGGTGTTAGCCATCCTAACTGGAATGAGATGGTATCTCAAAGTGGTCTTGACTTGCATTTCCTGGATGCTGAGTGAGGTTGAGCATTTTTTCATGTGTCTGTTGGCCATTCGTACATCTTCGTTTGAGAAATGCCTATTTAGGAGGCGGGCAGCCACCCTCCCCCAGCTGTGCACCCCTGGGAGCTCGCTGGCTGGTGGGTTCCATGTGAGAGTCAGTGTTTCCTGGCCTTTTCCTCAGCTGTCCCCGGCAGGCCAAAGGCTGGGTGAGGGGCAGTGGCAGGCAGGGGAGGCCGGGAGGTTGAGTAGGGCGTGCTGGGGACACCCTGACTTACCCCAGTCCAGCCCCGTCCCTTGTTCCTGACCCTGCAGGCGAGTGTTGCCTTTTTCGGCGCCACGAGTCCTCCAGCGCCGGCTGTGGCCATGAGATGGTGAGCTGGGGTCCCTGCTGCAATGAGAGGGGTTCTCAGGGTGGCTGGCTGGTGAAGCAAAACCCATCGTGGTCTCTGTGGAAGAAATGAGGAACTTGGCTGTGTTGTCCTGCCTCAAAGAACAAACTCATCTATTGCAGGCCTAGCCTGGACTGCTGCCTTTGAAAACAAGGACAGGCTGGTAGAATATCAATGCAGCACAGCATGGAATTTCCAGAGAGGTCTTATTTCAAAACGTCATGAGGAATGAGCGCCACATGGACTTCTTCAAGGGAGGTTGAACTGGCCTGAGTTTGAGGGCAAGGATAATGTGTGCCAAACCTGTAACTAACACCAAGGAGGCCAAGTGGCAGAAGGTCTTGTATGAGTGACAGCCCTTCCCTGGTAACTACGTGGACCGGAGGTTCCCGGAGGAGCTCCAGACAACCATCTGTGCCCAGAAATACCAATATCGGGCTGTGGTATTTGAATCCAGTGTGGTGATACAGCAGCTGTGCAGCATCTGTGTTTTTGTGGTTATATGATGGTATATGGATGAGGGTCTTCTGGCCCCCCGCTGGGTTTTTGGGACTGGCCTGGCTTCTTCACTGATTGGGTATGTTTTGTTTGATCTCATTGATGGAGGTGAAGGGTGGAAGAAGAGTGGGCAGACGCGGTGGGCTGACTAGAAGAGTGCCCTAGTCTTCATTACTTTCACTTATGGTTTTTCACCGGTGCTGAAGACCCTGACAGAGTCTGTTAGCACTGACCCCATCTATGCTGTGTCAGTCTTCATGCTGTTAGGCCACCTCATCTTCTTCGACTATAGTGCCAATGCTGCCATTATATCCAGCACACTGTCCTTGAATGTGGCTATCTTTGCTTCTGTCTGCCTGGCTTCACGGCTTCCCCTGTCCCTGCACACCTTCATCATGGTGATATTTGCCATACAGATTTTTGCCCTGTGGCCCGTGTTGCAGAAGAAACTGAAGGCATGTACTGCCTGCAGCTGTGTGGGCGTCACACTGCTTTTTGCATTCTCAGCCCTGGGAAGCCTGCTGTCCATTAGTGATGTGGGAGCTATGTACTCTTTGCCCTTCTGCTGGTTTCCATTTTGTGTCTTTCTACCTCATTTGCCTGCAGCTTCTTAAAGAAAACATTCATGGACCTTGGTATGAAGCTGAAATCAAGCAAGACTTGTTCAGGTTCCTTAGCTAAGTTAGGGATCTCCATTTTATTATTAAGGAAAGCTCATAGACTACTCTTCTAACTAGTATAAAATTTGAAAGCAGAGTTCCATTCTGGAAGCAGCATGCTGATGTGGGTGAGAGGGCAGAGATCAAAAGAGAAAATTACCCAAAGGCTTGGTGGTGAAGGTGTTTATCCTTTGTTATTTTGTGGGTGAAAAAGCTTTCTGTGGCCCTCTTGAATTATTGCCTCTCATTTATTATTCGCTGTAACAAAAGTGGTTTCTATTTATTAAAAAAATTTTTTTTAAAGAGAAATGCCTATTTAGCTCCTTTGCCCATTTTTAAATTGTCACTTGTTTTTTTTGCTGCAAATCAAGAAACTTCTTTTTGAGTACCTACAAAGTACCAGTAGAATGGCCAGAAAAGTATATGAATTGTCAGTAATGTTGCTAACTCTGTGGTGAGAAGAATTTTTAGACTTTTAATCTGTATCACTTAAAGTATTCCTGGCATCTAATAATTTCTGTGTCAACACCAGCTATAGGACAGGACAGTATGGAAAATGTGTGTTGATTCAACTGGACTATTAGTAACCAAGCTCCTTGTGGGAAAAAAAGATAGGATCTTTGAAGGGGATTACTGTTTTTTAGTCTGGCTTTGTATATGGGTTGATATGGTGAGGATTCAACTTTATCCTTCTGTTGTTTTGTTTGTCCAACTGGTTTATAACTTGGAAAATTCTGACTCAAGATGAAAGGGCTCGCTACCATAGGGCATTTAATTGGGGATTTCCACTGAGAACTAGGCCCTCAGGGAGTTCTCTTCCATTAAATCATCCCAAATTCACCTCAACAGAGGAGGAATCTATTAGCAGGAATTAAAACATTCTGTGTGACAAGAGAAAATTTCCTTTACCTATAATGTTATTCTTGTTCTTTTATGTTTACTTTAATCAAAATTTTGGAAGAGCTTCTGCAAATAGGAAGACTTGAATATGGCTCATGTCCCTTTTCCTACCATCTCCAGGCTGTTTGCATTTTGATAGTTGAACATACTGTTTTCTACAGGCTGCTAGGGATATGTCAAGCCTTGGGCTCTGATTTTGCCCTAGAGGAAAAATGGTCATGGGACTCTTTCCCACATGGACTAGGAAACACCAGAGAAGTGTCAGAGCATGGGAACAGAGCTGGAAAGCATTTGGAAAGAGCTTGGTACTTGAAATCCTGAAGACTTTGATGAAGGTCAGTAAAGGCCAGCATGAGGGTGTTCCCAGTTTCTATGACTCTTAAAAGGCCAAGAAGGAGTAAAACAGAAATGTCCATGCTCCTGAGGTGGTGAAAATACAGGGACGCCAGAACAGAAGCTTCCTTCCTCTCTATATGTTCAAAAATAATCTGCTGTAGAATATGTAATATTAAGTGGTAAATAACAACTCTTGAAATAGAAGAGAGATGATATAAGAGAAATTCTAGTATGTTTTAAATTACTTCAGGAAAACCTGGGAGCTGATTGTTTGTGAAACTTGGGAACATATTGTTGGGGAAGTAAAGATATTCCAAAAATCTCATGCTGGAGATCGGGGGAAGTGGTGAAAGGAGTAAGAGTATTCCCAAAGTTTTGGCCTACCAGGATTGTGTGTGTGTGGTGGGAAGAGATGAGGTGAAATAGAGTATCTGATGAGAAAGGATATCTTGAGGGGGAATAAAGCAGTTTCTTGTTGCCAGTCGTAGTTGTCATATGTAAGTATGATAGTGAATGACAGGAAAGGGAATGGAAGAATTGCGGGAATGGGAACCTCCTCTGGAACTTCAAAGTGAATTAGGAAGAAACCAAATATAATGAGTGACAATTGAACAAACCAGTAATACTAAGCATAAGGAAAAAAAGAGAAAACAATAGTGGAAAACAAATAATAAACATAAAATAAATTGGGACATATATAATTAAGTATATACAGTATTATACCAAGTCTGAACAAACTGAGATTTCCCAATTAAAGGGAAAAATTGTCAGATGGGTTTTCAAACATCCAGCTATATGATGTTTTCAGAAAATATACTTCAATCAAATAATAAAGAAGACTGAAAATAAGGAAGGGGCAATGATATACAAGGCAAATGCAAAGAACACGAAATCAATACTGAAAACGGTAATATTGAACAAAGTAAGATTTAAAGCATCACAAGGGGGCCGGCCCGGTGGCGCACTGGAGAGTGCCCCGCTTGAGAGCGCGGCGGCGCTCCCACCGAGGGTT